CTTATGCCTGTAATCCCAGCTACTTGGGAGACTGAAGCAGGAGGATCGCTAGAACCTGGGAGGTGGAGGTTGTAGTGCAGTGAGCAGAGACTGCACCAGCCTGGGAGACAGAGCAAGAGTCTTGCTCTATCTCCAAAACAAAACAAAACAAAACAAAACAAACATACACACACACACACACACACACACGTATAACTGGCAAAGGATTACTATTCAGGAAAAACAAAAACTCATATATATATATATATATATATAAAACTGGTGAAGGATCAGTATTCAGAGTAAACAAAAACTCCTAAAAATCCATTTGGTTCTAGGAACTGGACATGGGAGAAGGGGGAAGGATCCATTTAGAAGAACAACATAATTCAATAAAAAAATGGGGAGAAGACTTATCAGGCATTTCAAAGGAGGAGGCAGCAAAAATGGCCATTATATATGAAAAGATTCTCAACCTCCTTAATAATACAGGACATTGAAACAATTAGATGCCATTTACAGCCACCAAACTGCAAAACTTTAAGTCTTACAGTATCAGGAACACCTATATACTACTGCTGAGCATGTAAAGTGGTAAATCACTCTGGAAAACAACCTGGAATTATTTAGCAAAGGCAAAAATAAACGTATGCTATAGCCAATAATTCCTTTTCTATATTTAACTCCAGAAAAATGATGTGACAGTAGGAGTCACCTACAATAATTTTCCATTTAAACAGAATTATCAAGTGGCAATAAAGTGCCACACAAAGCCCAGGTCAAGAAATTTCCAAGATATTAGGAATTGGAGCAGAAAAGAATTATGTCTTATCTATGTGATTTCTACCTAGTCAGAATGCTTCCCTCAACTATCCTTATTGAGGGGCCCATTTTATTCCTAATTCCCACACTAGTCTTTTAAGTCTCTTTGCCATCCAAACCTCCACTCCTGAGTTATGCTGAAAGAGTTTAGGCAGTGAGAGATATCCTATTGCCAGAACCTATGTGGTTCCCGAGTTTTGGGCAGTAGTATAATAATAAGGCAGCAGAAGTTCATCTGCAATTTCATCTAAATGTATTCCAACTCAAGTACACAGGATGAGAGCAGTTAGTGAATCAGGAACACATTTGCTCTTTCCTGATTGTGCTGAGCTGTTCCAGCTGGTATGTCCTTCCCAGTTGTGTTCAGCCTGGAGAAGGAAAAGCATGACCTTCCTCTGTAAATTCTACTAAAAATACAAGAATTAGCCAGGCGTGGTGGCAAGTGCTGGTAATCCCCGCTACTTTGTAGGTTGTGGCGGGAGAGTTGCTTGAACCCTGGAGGCGGAGGTTGCAGTAAGGCAATGTCGTGCCACTGCACTCCAGCCTGGGTGACAGAGTGAGACTTTGTCTCAAAAAAATAAAAATAAAAAAAATCATACCATATGAGAAAGGAAAATTTACTGCAGTGTGAAAGAGTAGGAATGGTAACAAGTACTTCTCACCAGAGGGAATTTTGCTCCCCACGAGTTATTTGACAATGTTTGGAGACATTCTGATTGCCAAGGACTTAGAGGTGTGGCAGAATAGAGCCCAGGGACGCTGCCAGACATCCTACAGTTCACAGATCAGGCCCCCACAACAAAGAGTTATCTAGCCTAAAATGTCAATAATGCTGAGGATGAGAAACACTGTGCGAGACAAGGGCACATGCCTCCAAGGGTGAGCATAAAAGATTCCTACAGAGGATGCAGAGGAGGAGGTGTCCCTTTTCCTGACAACTTATAAGACATCTTGAGACTCTAAGGTCTGTATCTTAAGATCTCTAGTTCTGGAGGAGGTGGAAAGAAATACTCAAATACGCTGCTGGTAGAGGTGGTGGGTGGTAAAGCAGCCTGTATTTTTTTTTTTTTTTCTTTTTTTTTTGAGATGCAGTCTCACTCTGCCACCAGGCTGGAGTGCAGTGGCGCAATCTTGGCTCACTGCAACCTCCACCTCCAGGGTTTAAGCGATTCTTTTGCCTCAGCCTTCTGAGTAGCTGGGACTACAGGAGTGCACCACCACGCCAGGTTAATTTTCATATTTTTAGTAGAGACAGGGTTTCATCATGGTGGCCAGGCTGATTTCAACTCCTGACCTCAGGTGATCCGCCTGCCTCAGCCTCCCAAAGTGCTGAGATTACAGGCGTAAGCCACCACGTATGGCCAGCAGCCTACATTTTCTAAAGGAAATATGACTTGTACTATGATACAATCCTCAAGTTGACATCTCCAAAAGAAGTAAAAGATGTTGGCATGTGTTACCTAGAAACGCACTGATTAAAAATTAACAATGGGGCCGGGCGCGGTGGCTCACGCCTGTAATCCCAGCACTTTGGGAGGCCGAGGCGGGCGGATCACAAGGTCAGGAGATCGAGAGCACGGTGAAACCCCGTCTCTACTAAAAATACAAAAAATTAGCCAGGCGCGGTTGTGGGCGCCTGTAGTCCCAGCTACTCGGGAGGCTGAGGCAGGAGAATGGCGGGAACCCGGGAGGCGGAGCTTGCAGTGAGCTGAGATCGCGCCACTGCACTCCAGCCTGGTGGCAGAGTGAGACTGCATCTCAAAAAAAAAAGAAAAAAAAAAAAAAAAAAAAATTAACAATGGGAAAGAAAATCTGAATTAACTTCACTGTGCAACAACAGAGGTTTGGAAAAAGCATGGAATATCTACGATAGAATACTGTGCTAGTGTAAAACTGGGGTAGAAGAATATACTGAAGACATAGGGAAAGTTCACAACATATTATGAGAAGAGGATGGAAAACAGAATCCAATGTTTTAAAAATATACCATGCATATTGGAATATAGTCCAAAATGTAAACAATAATCACCATGGAGAGCTGAGCTATGGGCAATGTTATCTCTCGTCCCCCAAATACCTTACCTGTCCAATATCTCTGAAACTTGCCAGTGGAAATTAACTAATATAAGTTTAGCAACTGAATGAGATACCTAGAAAGAAGAAAGAAAAAAAATCGAATTATAATTGCATTTTCTTTTAAGGTGTTTCACATTTTGAGAACCGCATACATTCATGTCTATGCCAAGCCCAGACTGGATTACCAAATTCCTCCTCTTGGTTCTCTGCTTTGTCTTTTAAGTTCAGACTCTTACAATCTTAGTGATTTCAAGAATCTCTTGATTTTCTATCTTTGTTTTCATTAATAAACCTTTCAAGAAAATTAATTTCATTTGAAACTTAAAGACACTCATTTTACAATAACAACCTAGCATCTATTAATAACATAAACAACAGAGCTGGAGTTTCCTTCATGTCATATATGTTCCCTCAAGCTGCTGTAGGAGGTTGTACACCAGAAGCACATCTCTATTAAGGCCTGTTACTCGTAGAAAATCCCCAGGTCTGGGTTTGCATAAACCCTACAGAAACACCAGAAAACAATCAACAAAACACAAAAACCCAAAACTCAGTTTAAAATCACTGAATTCCCAGCAGCCAATGAGTCCTAGTTGCAAGGACAGTTTCAAAATTTGTGGGCAGCCTTTCTGGCCTCTATATGTTCTTAGGAGACATTTAAAGCACATGGTTACAGCTACTAAAGAACCTTAGAAGGTGGTTGAGCTAGCAATTCTATTTCTGTAAAGTCTCCCTGAGGAAATGACAGAGGATATGTTTACCACAGGATTATTTACAATAGTAAAAAATTAGAACTAACCTAAATATCCAACAAAAATGAGTTAAATAATATATGACAGATCTATGCAATGGACTACTATGTGGTTATTTTAAAAGATTTAGTTTATTGACATAGAAAGATGTTCTTTTTTTTTTTTTTTTTGAGACAGTCTTTGTCACCCAGGCCGGAGTGCACTGGCTGACCTCGGCTCACTGCAACCTCTGTCTCCCAGGCTCAAGTGATTATCCTGCCTCAGCCTCCCGAGTAGCTGGGATTACAGGCATGCGCTACCATGCCCAGCTAATTTTTGTATTTTTAGTAGAGACAGGGTTTCACCATGTTGGCCAGGCTGGTCTTGAACTCCTGACCTCAGGTTATCCGCCTACCTTGGTCTCCCAAAGTGCTGGGATTACAGGTGTGACCCATTGCACCCGGCCACTATTTTTTTTTTTAAATAATGAGCTGCGCTATGTTGTCTAGACTGGAATACAAGGCTATTCACAGGCATGATCAGAGCACACTACAGCTTTGAACTCCTGGGCTCAAGTGATCCTTCCACCTCAACCTCTCGGGCACTACAGGTGCATATCACTTCACCCACCTTAGAAGCTCATATTTTAATGTTAGGTTAAAGAAGCATATAAGCATCTACATGTTATAGTCGTAATTGAGACGTAAGCTAGTTACAAAACACCCTAAGTGTCAAGACTTGGGTGAGACCACAGAAGACTGGGATGTGTTTGGAAGCCTTAGATCATCAGGCTTCCCAGAGAAAGCAATACATACCATGAGGGTACTACTAAAGCAAGGAGAAAGTAGGAGCATATTTACAGTTAGGGTGACAAGAAAACACACAGAACATTGTCTGCTCACTGGACTGAGTCCTTAAACAAGAGCTACCATGGATCCGTAAGGTAGTATGTGTCTGGTCCACAGATAAGAACTGCAGCAGAGGAAAGACACACAGTGACCACCACATGATCCCTCCTTCTAGCACTCAAGTCACTCCTGAAAGGAGACAAGTGAGCACCTACTAAACAAGGGCACATCCCAGTATATAATGAGTGTCAAAGGCTATGCAATCAGTGAGTGCTTCCTGTCCTATAGTCCAGGTACATCTGGAGAAAAATCAAGGACTCAAGACAGCTTACTTCGCTCAGGATGGGGGTCCCTATTTTCCTTCCAAGGTAAGTGGCATCTGACCCATGCACGCTGCCACAGTATTTTCTTGCAGAAGCCCATGTAGACTTTAGGCCTAGGTTTCCCAAATTATGGCTGGTATTTCTTCTGTGTCCTCAACAAAGCTATTCGTCCCCAACAGACCACTATCACAAAATGAGAAGAGAGACAAGACATCTTGTTTAAACTTTAACAACTGCTGAAATACAGCCTTTGGATACAAATAGCTTTTTAATTTATTTTTTATTTTATTATTATTATTATTATTATTATATATTTTTTGAGATGGAGTCTCACTCTGCCGCCTGGGCTG